TTGACTTGCAGTTCAGGACAGATAGAATCTCATTTTGGTGTTGCTGGACAAAAGCCATGGATTACGTGAGATTTGTGTGATGGAGTCTTTATTCTTCTGGCGAGAGCAACACCTACAGAAAGGGCAGCAGGGCCCGGGGCATCTTGTTGGAAGATGTCAGACATCTGCCCCTCAGAGTCTTGTGGTATCAAAGCTAAGGACCACAGAAAACTGAAGTTTCATCATTATCCTATATAGGCATTTGCTTAGTCTTTATTGAAGTATCTAATAGAATAAATTACTTCTTATGGAATCATGGGTTGGTATATTATTTATTTTTTGTTATGCTTGCTTTCTGTCTGCAAAATTTCTGAATAAATCAACACATTCACTCATCAAGGGAAAATACTAAGTCAGACAGAAATGTACTTTGTAGTTGTGTCCCCTAATACATGACAGCTCTGAGGATGGTCAGTTTGGTGCGAGGTAACTTATGGACTGAGTACAGCATATGAGTGGTCTCTACAGGGAAGTGTGACCACAGGTGTGTGGGTGACCACACAGGTGTGTGTGTATGGTAGAGAGCATGGGGCTCTGGGAGAAGTGTTAGCAACATTGACGCAGATTGTATCCAGATGAAAATGCACCTAAAGGTTCACTCGGTAGAGCTTGGACTGTACGCTAAGGGCCATAGTGGGCCATGAAAAGTTGGTAATAAAAAATGTGATGTAAGTATCATTGAGCATAAATCCACCATGTTGACTTTTCTTCCTCCATCATCATTTTTCCTTCTTCTGGATTAATCATTTTTTAGGATCTCACAGATTTTTCTTTTTTATTTTTTTGACAGGCAGTGTTAGTGAGAGAGAGAGAGACAGAGATAAAGGTCTTTCTTCCGTTGATTCACTCCCCAAAAAATGGCTTCCACAGCCAGCATTGCACCGATCCGAAGCCAGGAGCCAGGTGCTTCCTCCTGGTCTCTCATGTGGGTGCAGGGCCCAAGCACTTGGGCCATCTTCCACTGTCTTCCTGGGACACAACAGAGAGCTGGACTGAAAGAGGAGCAACCAGGACAGAATCTGGCACTCCAAAAGATCTCACAGATTTTCATGACTTTAACCAAAATATCTGAAAGAGCTTTGGGAAATTCAAGTTTATTTTAGCCTACAATTTGGAGGCTACACTTCAGGGTCAGGCATCCCCACAGTCCGGTGTCTGTGGAAGCTGCTCATGGCAGGTGCAGGGGAACAATCACATTGTGAGCCACGAGGAAGAGAGAAAACCTAGACCCAACTAGAACTCAAATAATCAAACCTCTCATGAGAACTACCCTCTGAGGGTACACCCTCAAAGACCCAAAGACCTCCCACTGGCCGCATATCTCACATGCCCTCAATATACCAAATCTCCACCCTTAATCCACTAAATATAAACATTAAGACATTTCAGTTTAAACAACTCCACGTTTTGGGAGACAAGTCCTGTTGTACCCATACATCAGCTCTATCTCCTGTTTTGTTGTTGGTCTAGAGTTTACAATAGACATCTTCTGTTTATCACACACTGCCATCCAGTGATACTGGACTTCTTCACCTATAATATAGCAACCCCACAACAACAGGTTTCCATTCACCCTCTAATGCTTCTGCAATTTCGTAATTTTACTTCTACCTACATTATAAACAATACACCTGTTGTTACAATTTTTGCTTTAAAAATGATCATTTAAGGCAATTAAAGCTAAGCAGTCTTTTATATTTATCAAAATGCTACCCATTTTCAGTGTTCAGTGTTCATTTGTATAAATCTAGGTTTTCATTTGGCATAATTTTTCTTACATGTGAAGCATTTAATAAGCTTATTTTTAAAAGATTTATTAATTTATATGAAAGGCAGAGTGACAGAGAGGGAGAAACAGAGAGAGAGAGATCTTCCATCCACTGGTTCACTTTCCAAATCCCACAAGAGTCAGGGCTGGATTGCGCCAAAGCCAGGAGCCTAGAACTCCGTCCGTATCTCCCATGAGGGATGCAGGGATCTAGGTACTTGGGCCATCCTCCACTGTTTATGCAGGTGAATGAGTAGGATGCAGGATTAGAAGCAGAACAGCCAAGACATGAACTGGTGCTCTGATGTGGGATGCCAGCATGGCAGGCAGCAGCTCAACCCACTGCACACTGCCAGCCCCCTAAGCTTTCTTTTTTGTCCCCAAAGACTTATTTATTTGAAATGCAGAGTTATGGGGGTAGATGGCGGCAACAGAGAAAGAGAAAGAACTTCCATCTGCTGGTTCATGTCCCCAGATGGCTGCAATTGGCAGGGCTGGCCAGGTTGAAGTCAAGAGCTCAAGTAGTTGTCCAAGCACTTGAACCATCTTCTACTACCTACCCAGGTGCATTAGCAGGAAGTTGGATTGGAAGTGGAGCAGTTAGGATTCAAAAATGGATGCTCCTATGGGATGCCAGTGTCACAAGGTGGCAGCTTAACCCACTGTGCCACAGCACCGCCGCAACCCTGGGTTTTCCTTTTAGTAAGGGTCTGTTGATGATAAATTCTGTTTTTGTTCCTTAGGGAATGAATGCCTGTATTGCCATATCTTCTTGGAATCAACATGAATTAAGTACAAGACTGGATAAACAGAGACATCTGCCCCACCCCAGGATGCACCCTACCCAGGACAGCTCCAGGAAGGCACAGGAACCAAAGAGGGGCTGAAATTGGCAGGTGTTTCATTCTGAGCCTCAGGTGATGCAGAAAGTACAAACTCAAAAGAAGTGGGCAGAGATGATGAATGACTGAGTCAATGGATTTCACTGGGTTTTTAATCCAGCGATTAACACAGGACCGGGAGGCATCCATCCAGCTCTCAGTGCCTGCTTCTTTTACCTACAAACACAACACTAATTTCCGAATTTAAGTGTTCAGATGACCCAGAAGTGCATGAGTTTTCACTGCCCCCTAAGCAAGCAGTCAGCCTCAGCTGCTAAAGAAACCATTTCCCCAAGTATCTGCTGGTGTCTTGCGTCTTCTCCTGATACTCATAGCTTGCTCCAGAAATACTAGCTCCTGCAGTCAATGTATGCGGCAATTCTTTGTTTAGGCAGTCTACAATCTGTTGGTTTTAATCTATCTCCAAGCCAGAGGAGGTCAAGGGAGCCCTTGCTGGTCAGGCACAGCATGGCAGACCTTACACAGGTGGGGTGCAGCCCTACATGCAGACTGAGGCTGTGCCCTCTATAAACGGCCCTCTCAGGAGGGCTACCTGGCTCAGCCCCAGCTGTATTGGCTTTTTGGGGAGTGAACCAGCAGAAAGATCTCTTTGTCTGTCTTGCCTTCTCTGTGGAATTCATTTTAAAATAAAAAAAATATTTTTAAAAAAAGTGGGAAGAAGGACACACATTAGTAAGTGGTAAATTCACCATTTATTAACTTCCTTTATTTTTTTGACAGGCAGAGTTAGACAGTGAGAGAGAGAGAGACAGAGAGAAAGGACTTCCTTCCGTTAGTTCGCTCCCCTAATGGCTGCTACAGCCGGCTCTGCACCGATCCGAAGCCAGGAGCTGGGTGCTTCCTCCAAGTCTCCCATGTGGGTGCAGGGCCCAAACACTTGAGCCATCCTCCACTGCCTTCCCAGGCCACAGCAGAGAGCTGGACTGGAAGAGGAGCAACCAGGACCAAATCTGGCGCCCCAGCCGGGACTAGAACCCAGGGTGCCGGTGCCACAGGTGGAGGATTAGCCAAGTGAGCCACAGCGCTGGCCAACCACTTATTAACTTCCAATTCCAGCTTCTTGCCAGCAAGTCTCTGTAGGCAGTGGATGATGGCTTAGGTGCTTGGGGTCCTGCCACCAATGTGAAAGACCAGAGTGCACTGCTTCGCTCCCAGCTTCAGCCTGGCCCAGCCCTGTCATTGGTAGGCATTTGGGGGGTAAGCCAGAAGATGAAATTACCTCTGTCTCTCTGTCTATTTGCCCACCTCTCTGTGTGTCTCAACTTTTCAAATAAAATGAAAACAAATTTTAAAGTAACAGTACTTTATATTTATCACAGGGACACCGACACTACTCTTGGACGTCCAGGGTGATGCGAACCATTGAGAATAAGCCCACAGGGGATACCCAGGGGCCACTACTGTGCAGAAACCCTGCATGGAAGGAAGGGACTCCATTCGGTGCCTACAGTGGCCAAAAGACTTCTGCTGTCAATCCCCACAGAACCTCAGAAGGAAGCCTCAAACAGTTGAATATGCAAGTGATGGCATTATTGACATGATTCCATGTCAACGATGAATGAAGTCTAACACACTCCTTCCTTAAATTCCAGTTTGGGCTTTAGGATGTTCCCTCTCACCACCAAAGGGGAACTTGAGGAGGGGTCCTAGTCCTCCACCCCAACTATGGACTGCATCGTGGCTGAAGTCCCATCACCTCTGCTGCAGCTGTCTTCAGATGGGCCTGGAACCAAGGACCAGGCACATCAAAGACTAGAACTTAGGGTCTCAGCTTTCTCCCATAATCCACAGGAGAGCTAGGGGTCTGAAATTTCAAGGTACGTGGACACCCAGAGAGAAAGCGGGGGCGTGGCTAGGGCCCAGGTGTGTGAGAGACACAATCTGAGTGGCCCTCACCTGGTGCCAGGGGCTCAGTTGGGTTAGGGTGAGGCTGGCACGAGGATGTTCTCTACCTCTGTCCCCAGGTCCTGCCGAGGCTCCATCGCCACACTCTCCCGGAAGCTCTGCGAGAGAAGAGGATTTCCTTCCGGAGCCAACGGTCTTATCCCCTGGGCCATCTCTTCTTTGTCATTGTGCAAGTGAGGAAAATGTACACCTTGTAAGTGGACCCTGCCCTGTGGGAAAAGGCTGGGAGAGGTGTGGGGCTGGACCCACCCTCCACCGCATCACCGCTGTTTGTGCCTGACCCTGGCAGCTCCTCTCTGACATATCTGCCGCATCACAGACACAGCCCCACACAACAGGCGTTGTTTCTGACACCCCACCCCCTCACACACACCCTGCTGGGAAACCTTTCTCAGAAAGCTTGGGCTCAGGAATAAAACCAGAGGGCAAGGCTGGAGGAGTCACTTCCATGCAGCCAGCCCAAGAGTGCCACACCTAAGACCAGACACCCCGAGGACGAGCCACCCTGAGGAAGACAACAATGACAGAGCAACAGGTGAGCTGAAGAGGCACAGCCTCCAGGGCCCTGAGTCACATAAAGGAAGGAATAGAGGAATGGGAGATTTCATGAGATGAGAACAAGAAGCTTTCTTTGTTGAATGTGCTACTGAGAGTTGTGGGTGTATGGAAGAGACACCTGGATTTGACACAAGAAAATGCATGCAGATCCTAGAGCACCATCTGGTTGTTTCTAATAGAGAGCTCCATTGAGATGGAATGAAGCAGTGAATCCTGAAATCCTCCTTGTACTGGATAAACTAAGGCAGGGAGAGTACAAATAATGGAACTCACATCTCACTGCTAGTGACAGGCAGAGTCAGGATTAGAATCTAAGTAGCCTGGCTCTTGCCCTTGCTCTTAATTGAGACCCTTCCTCAGCCTTGTCACAATACAGGGACCCCTGACCGTGATGGATGGAGATAAAGGGGTGCTTCAGTTTGCCTTCTGATCTCTAATCTGCTGTACCCAGCAAACGTGTAGGAGGGGAGCCGTCACCTGCCCTGGCCCCTCTCACCCACTCCCAATTCCCACAGCAGGTCCCATACACACGGAATGTGTCCTTGTGTATTGGTTCTTCAGTGACAATCAGAGGGACACCTGCCAACTCTTTCAGGTGAGTACTGTAAGGTCCAGGGGTGGGGGTGGAGGACCATTAGGGTAGAGGAGACTGTCAGAGCTGAGGGTCGCCTCACGTCTGAGTGAAGCTAACATCTTTCATTAGCATAGTGGTGGCAAAATGCGGGTGCAGATCCTGGAGACCCTAAGCCCCAGGTGTTGACCTGTAGTGGCTGAGCTGCAGGCAGAGCTTGGTTCTGGGAGAAGAAAGAGGTCCCTTAGAGGGATGGGGGTGGGGATGTAGATGTTTATCAAGGGCCATAGACTTTTCAGGGAATGGACAACCAACAGGCCCAGGTCAGTGGCTGTGGCTCATTTTTAGTCTTGGGCTAAGGGACAGAGTATCTCAGCACCCTGGCAGGATGAGCCAAAACAGCCCCACAGGGACAAGGACACAGCATACCTTCCTCTCACCATGGGGAAGAGGTAGGAAAGGCTCGGCACGTGTGTGGAGTGTGGGGTGTCACGGGGCGGGGGACCTGCCCAACACGCCATGTGCTTTGCCCTCAGGAAGGACCCACAGTTGCAGGTGGATTTCCACATGGGCACTAATGAGAGGTCTGACATCGCCTTCCATTTACGAGTGTACTTTGGCCACTGTGTGGTCATGAACAGCCTTCGGTGTGGGGGCTGGGACTGTGAGGTGAAATCCTCCCACATGCCCTTCATGGAGTGCAAACAGTTTGAACTGCGCATCTTGGTGCTACACAATGAGTACCAGGTGAGTGTGCCCAGGAGCACCTACTGCACCACCTGCCTGGGCTCCCTGGCCTGACCCCGGGAGTCCTTGGGGATCATCTCCCTCAGCCACTCCTGCCCCAAGCTATGAATCTCAGAGCTCCCTCTGCTTTTCCTGCCATCCTCAGTTGTTTTCCAATTCTGTCCAGGGTCAGGGTTGGCTCACAGGCTATCCTGCCCACCTATCTCCTCTGGCTTCTCCCTCAACCATTATTTCTAGTTATGCTGTTAGGTAAATATTCATATAGCTAAATGGTTAAAATAGGCACAGGAATAAAATTATTCTATCAGTCAAAAGTAAGTCATCTCACTCCTGAACCCCATCCCTCCTCCCAGAATAACCATTACTAGTTTCCTTTCCTTCCTTTCAGAGATAACCCATATCTACAGAAGCATGTTGTATAGCTTACACATATGTGTATATATATATGTGTGTGTGTGTGTGTGTGTGTGCTTGTGCACCTATGCCTATACATACACATGCTTTCATATATTTTTGAACATTTAATGGCACATGTTTCTCTTTTAACTGCACTTAGGAGCTAGAGTTTATTAGCTGTCAAAAAACATATCTTTTGGACAGCACTCTTCAAGACGATACTGCTGTGTATTTTAATGAGTGAAATAATATTCCAATAGAAGGATGATCAGAATTAGAACTGACCCTTTTTGATGGGCATTCAGATTCTTTCCAATAGTTTTCTTTCACAAATGACACTGCATTAAGGTTCTATACCATACTCTTCTCATTACCAACCTCACCATTCTTTAACATTTTGTTGATTCAGGAAGTGCACATTTCACATGCCTGTAAGCTATTAGAAGTTATATTTATTTTTTATTCCTATTTGAGAAGCAGAGCCAGACAGAGCCAAAGATCCCACCCACTGGTTCACTCCCCAGATGCCTGCAACAACCAGGGCTGGACGGAAACCAAAGGCAAGAGCTGGGAACTCAAGCCAAGTCTCCCATGTGGGTGGCAGGAACTCAATTACCTGAGCCATCACTGCTGCCTCCCAGGTCTGCAATCCCAGGAAGCTGGGGTCAGGAACTGGAGCCAGGTAGTAAACCCAGGCCTCTGACATGAGACATGGGCATCTCAACCAGTGTCTTGACCACTACACCATGCACCACCCCCAACATCTTCATTCTGAGCCACTGCACTACCCGAACCTTAAAGAACACCCAGGTTGCAGTCTCTACCACCAGCAGCCCAGAAGAGAAGCTGCACCATCAGCAGTAAATGCAGGGAAGGTTTGGGGACCTGAAGTTTACACATTCAATGAACCTGTAGTGAGCTCTACCCCTAGGGCTCGTGCTGTAGGAGACACAGGAAGTCAAGTCCCTGACCTCGGAGCTCTTCTAGGGTAGAGGGGAGGCTGCGCAAACACAGACAATCCACACAGAGTGGTAGAACTTCACCAGAGGAGTCAGCAGACTCAGAAAATTGTAAGCAATTGTCCAATGTAGTCACAAAAGTTGACCTATAAAAGAAGCATGTGAGGGTGGGTATTGAGGTGCAGCGGGTTAAGCCCAACTTGTGAAGCCTGCATTCCATATCATGGTGCCAATCCAGCTCCCTGCTAATGTGCCTGGGAGGCAGCGGATGATGGCCAGGTACTTGAGCTCCTGCCACTCATGTTGGAGACCTGGATGAAGTTCTTGGCTCCTGGCTGTGACCTGGCCCAGCCCCAGCTGTTGCAGGCATTTGGGGAGTGAACCAGAAGAAGGAAAATATCTCCTCTCTCTCTCTCTCTTTCTCTCTCTCTCTCTCTCTCCCTTCCTCCCTTCCTCCCTTTTCTCCCTTCCTCCCTCCTTCCCTCCCTATCCATCACTCTACCTTCAAATCAATAAACCTTTAAAACAAAAACATGTGTATTGGTTCTGATATGTGATTAGTAGCTTTTGGGTGGATAGTGTAAGTACATTTTCTTCCCTCCTGCAGGTAATGGTCAACGGCCAGCACTGTTACAGCTTTGCCCACCGAGTCCACCCCGGGTCTGTGAGGATGATGCAGGTGTGGAGAGATGTCTACCTGACCTCAGTGGACGTCTGCTAGAGATGGAGGCTTCCAGACTCCCCGTGATCAAGGAAGCCCTTTCTCTATGTGACCTGTGGATTCCCAAAGCTAGCACAATGATTCTTCCTCATCTTGTTATCTATATTTGCTCAATAAAACTTCACCAACTTAATAGGATGCATTTCTTGCTTTAGACTGGAAAGAAGTAAGCGGCCATTGCCAAGAGGGATGTGGGTTCCATGGGAAGAATTGAGGTATCAAAGAGAATAAATCTTTCTGTGACACAGAAAGTGAGTGTCAAGGTCACTGACTTACCAAGAGTACATGCCTTTGTAGGACTTATCATGGGTCAGACATTCTAAACCAAATCCCTGGCCGGCGCCATGGCTCACTAGGCTAATCCTCCTCCTGCGGCACTGGAACCCCAGGTTCTAGTCCCAGTTGGGGCGCCAGATTTGGTCCTGGTTGCTCCTCTTCCAGTCCAGCTCTCTGCTATGGCCTGGGAGGGCAGTGGAGGATGGCCCAAGTGCTTGGGTCCCTGCACTCACATGGGAGACCAGGAGGAACACCCAGCTCCTGGCTTCAGATTGGCGCATTGCCAGTCGTGGCAGCCATTGAGGGAGTGAACCAACGGAAGGAAAACCTTTCTCTCTGTCTCTCTCTGTCTATAACTCTCTCTGTCTCTCTCTCTCTCTCTCACTGTCTAACTCTGCCTGTCAATAAATAAATAAATAAACCGAATCCCTTACCCCACTCCAGAGAACTAAACTAAGATGTTAGGTAACTGTCTACAATATAGACAACTGATGGATGGGGAGCAGCTTCTTAATTTGAGGAAAATCAGATGAAGTTTCTTAATTCTTTTATTAATCCAAAGGATTTTTTGTATCAACAGTTTCAGCTTTGTGCAGGATGCATCAGAAAAAAAGAGGAGGGAGATGACCAAGTTTGCCCTTGAAATGCTCAGTCCATGCAATAGTTAGAGACCCCCAGAAGTTTGAGGATTTACCTCAAAGAATCCCTTTTTTTCTGGCTTCCAAGGAATTGCAATACTTTTCCAGTTTATGTGACAGAAACTTAGGCCCCATATTTGGAAATGAATTGTCACACGTATTGGCCAAGGAGTAAGCACAATTCATGCACATGGATGTGGTAACCGGACTGGCTCTGCTGTTGTTTCAGACAGGCACTACATCATCCCCCAGGAACACACTGGTTTCAAACAAGAAGTAGGGAGGATTTGGCAGAGCAGTTAAGGTACTGCTTGGGGCACCTGCATCCCTGATCAGAGTGCCTGGGTTTGCATTCTGACTCCACTCCTGATTCTGGGTTCTTGCTAATGCAGATGCTGTGAGGCAGCAGGTGGTGGATCAAGCCCTGGGTCCGTGCCACACACATGGAAGACCCAGGCTGAGTTCCAGCTTCCTGCTTTGACCTGGCCCAGTCCCAGCTATTGTGAGCATTTGAGGAAGTCGATCTGTGGAGGGAGATCTTTTTAATCTCTGTCTGTTCTCCCTCATTCTGCCTTTCAAATAAGTAAATAACTAAAAACATAGCAGGAATCAATGATCTTTGTCAGTCTGACCAGGTGACTGGACTCACAGGAATGCTGTGCCATGTGGCTTCAATAAGGCTGTGGCGAGGGGTTGAGTCTTCTAAAGGATCTGCTGGGCTTCCAGACAATGCTCACTCTTTGCTTGGAGTGTCTAGAACAGCTGGGACTGGCTGGTTCTCTCTCTCCATAGCCATGTGGGACTTCCTCAATTCATGCGGTCTATTATTTATTGGACTCAATGAATGGTGACCACCAGGGGGAGCCTTCCACAAGGCTAAGCAGAGAGTGCAAGGCATCATAGGACCCAGCTTTGGGTGTCACGGGTGTCACTTCTGCCATACTCTGCTGTAATACATACAGCCCAAATCAAGGGGAGTGGACACATAAGGATGCGGCAAGTGTATCTTGTGGCCAGTGTATGGGGGGAGGGTCAACCTTGGAGGCTAGTAACTTTTCTACTCTCAGGCTGCAATAACTTACACATTTCCCACATGTCAAAATATCAACCCCCTCTAAAGAAGTCCCCAAATTAATATAATTACAGTAACAGGTTCAGGATTGAAAGCTAGGATCTCATCATCTAAATCAGGATATGCAGTGAATTTAGTATAAATTCTCAGGTACAATTCCTCTCTATCTGTGCACTAAAGGACCAAGTCACCGCTATAATCACATCAAAAACATAAAACAAACAGACACAGGGAAAATGCATTTAATCTGCCCATTTTCAGAGGAGGAAACAAGAGGTGTTCAGCAGTCACTGGCCCACATCATTTGTTAAACCAGCTAGGAATGTGTCTATGCCACATGAGGTTCCACCCACATTCTTTTGGTTCTTGCCAAGAACGGTGGCCCCTTTCCTTCTAGAAGTGCTCTGATCATTTGTTTCTTATAGAATCTGGAGAACTCCTTGGCCGGAGCCGCGGCTCACTAGGCTAATCCTCCGCCTTGCGGTGCCGGCACACCGGGTTCTAGTCCCGGTCGGGGCGCCGGATTCTGTCCCGGTTGCCCCTCTTCCAGGCCAGCTCTCTGCTGTGGCCAGGGAGTGCAGTGGAGGATGGCCCAGGTGCTTGGGCCCTGCACCCCATGGGAGACCAGGAAAAGCACCTGGCTCCTGGTTCCTGCCATCGGATTAGCGCGGTGCGCCGGCCACAGCGCGCCGGCCGCGGCGGCCATTGGAGGGTGAACCAACGGCAAAAGGAAGACCTTTCTCTCTGTCTCTCTCTCTCACTGTCCACTCTGCCTGTCAAAAAAAAAAAAAAAGAATCTGGAGAACTCCTTAAGAGAAACAAGATATTATCCCAAAAAAAGACCAAGGAAGATTTCAAAAAACTTCTATGAAATGGCCTCTTTGTTCACAAAGACGTTCTTGGACATAACTTTTGAGCTTAGCCTCTCACCATATCCATTGCCACAGCCTGCTCCACTCTAACCTTCCTAATGGCTATGCCTCCTGCCTAAACTCCCCTGCCCCCGTGAGGTACCAACATATGGGTAATGATACACTTCTGTCTCTCCCTCTCACTGTCCATAACTCTACCTCTTAAATAAATAAATAAATAATATTTAAAGTATCTCTGGGAACTTCCCAACAATGTTCTCAATCCAGATTCCTGTTCTTTTCTTATAAAATAGGGCATTTATCAGGCTGGTGCCATGGCTCAATAGGCTAATCCTCCGCCTGCGGCACTGGCACACTGGGTTCTAGTCCCAGTCAGGGCAGCGGATTCTGTCCCGGTTGCCCCTCTTCCAGTCCAGTTCTCTGTTGTGGCCCGGGAGTACAATGGAGGATGGCCCAAGTCCTTGGATCCTGCACCCATGTGGGAGACCAGGAGAAGCACCTGGCTCCTGGCTTTGGATCAGCACGGTGCGCTGGCCACAGCGGCCATTGGGAGGGTGAAACAATGGTAAAGGAAGACCTTTCTCTCTGTCTCTCTCTCTCACTGTCCACTCTGCCTGTAAAAAAAAAAAATAGGGCATTTATCAATAAATAAAAGGTCATTCCTGGACACAAAAGGTTTCCTTTCTCAAAGGTTCTTGACTTCTCTTATGTCTTTTCTTCAAAAGAAAAGGTTTTGAGGACAGTGTTGTGGCACAGCAGGTTAAGCCACTTCCTGTATCGTAGGCATTCCATTAGGAGCACTCATTCAAATCCTGGCTGCTCCACTTCTGACCCAGCTCCCTGCTGATGAGCCTGGGAAAGCAGCAGAAGATGGCCAAGTACCTGGGCCCCTGTACCCACATGGGAGCCCGGATGGATTCTGGCTCCTGGCTTGGACTTGGCCCAGACTCACTTGAGGAGTGTACCAGAGAATGGAAGATCTCTTTCTCCCTGTGTATCTCCATCTCTGTGCAACTCTGCCTTTCAATAAATAAATCTTTTTTAAAAAAATAAATTCTGCTCTATAATGATACAAAGTCCCCAAGGCTATTTGACCTCTGTGGTGCTGTCCGTGGTGCTGACTAATGATGGGTCTGACCCTTGCTTCCAAGTGAGAAGGTACAGCAAAATAACAGGATTTTTGGCTCAAAATAACTATGATGAGCACAAATTTACCTGGAATTTTCTGAAGCAAAATTTATGAGTCATTTGACTTTTCTAGCAGACAGTCTTACACAACAGAACTAGACTTTTTACAACATTCCATATGTGAATCATTAAATAATTAGTATAATAGTCTACCTTTATTTCTCCTGTATTTAGGAAGAATCTGTTATAGAAGTTGCTCTTATATTCATTTTTACAAAACCACAAAGGGAAAACAGACTACACTCCACACAATGGTCTCACAAACTGTATATTAAGATAGATGGGAATCTCCTTATCCTTTCCCTCTCAAATGAGACACAACACTAATATACACCCCAACTGCCAGTATCTTCACCTGTGTCTTCAGATCTTCTTCTGGATCTATATAAATCCATGGCGTACTAGTCAGCTTTCTGTTACTACAATTAAATACCTGAGGCAGCTAACTTATAAAGAGAAAAGTTTATTTAGCTCACGGTTCTAAAGGTGCATAGTCCAATGTCATGTAGTCCCCACTGGTTTAGTCTCTGATGATGGCATCCTTGCTGGCAAAGCCCTAGAATGACACAGAACATCACATGGCAAGAGGTGAGAGTGTATGTGTCTGTCTGTGTCTCTCTATCGCCCCAAGCTGTAGTGGCCACCTGGGGAGTTAACAAGTTGATGGAAGATACACTGCTCTCTCTCACACTCTATGCCTTTCAAATAAGTGAATCGTCTTTATAATTGAAAAAAACTATAATGAAAGCCATAAATTGTGAAATATATCATGAATACAAAACACATATACCTGAAATTAAATAAAGCATACATGTACCCACCACCAAGCTTCAGAAATTATTTATTTGAAAATGCTTAGGAGGCCCTCCCCATTGCCTCTCACAGCCTGATCTTCCCAGGTGAATCCCACCGAATGTGCTTGTTGCTCACAGCTTTTATTTATAGTTTTACCATCTATCTATGTCTCCACAACAATTATAAAACTTGAGCCAGGATTGTGTGCAAAGGGTTAATCCTCTGCATGCAATGCTGGCATTCCCTGTGAGCAAGGGTTCAAATCCTGGCTGCTTCTTTCCATCCAGCTCCCTCCTAATATGCCTAGGAAAGAACAGAGGATGGCCTGAATACCCAGGCCCCTAATACCCATGTGAAAGACCAAGACGGAGTTCCTGGTGCCTAGCCCTAATGGTTATGGCCATCTGGGGAGTGAACCAGTGGGTGAAAGATTCTCTCTCTCTCTCTCTCTGCCTTTCAGATAAATAAATATTTTTTAAAGATTTATTTATTTATTAGAAAGTCAGAGTTACACAGAGAGGAAAGGCAGAGAGAGAGAGAGAGGAGAGAGAGGAGGGAGGGAGGGAGAGAGAGAGAGAGAGAGAGAGAGAGAGAGAGGGAGAGAGAGGGAGAGAGAGAGAGAGAGAGAGAGAGAGAGAGAGAGAAAGAAAGAAAGAAAGAAAGAAAGAAAGAAAGAAAGAAAGAAAGAAAGAAAGAAAGAAAGTCTTCTAGCCGATGGTTCACTCCCCAATTGGCCACAATGGCTGGAGCTGCACCAATCCGAAGCCAGGAGCCAGGAGCTTCTTCCGGGTCTCCCACATGGGTGCAGGTGCCCAAGGACTTGGGCCATCTTCTACCGCTTCCCAGGCCATAGTAGAGAGTTGGATTGGAAGTGGAGCAGCCGGGTCTTGAACCGGCACCCATATGGGATGCCGGTGCTTCAGGCCAGGGCGTTAACATGCTGTGCCACAGCGCTGGCCCCATAAACAAATATTTTTAAAAAATATATACAAATGGGGCAGCGCCGCGGCTCACTTGGTTAATCCTCTGCCTGTGGCGCCGGCACCCCAGGTTCTAGTCCTGGTTGGGGCACCGGATTCTGTCCTGGTTGCTCCTCTTCCAGTCCAGCTCTCTGCTGTGGTCCAGAAGTGCAGTGGAGGATGGCCCAAGTGTTTGGGCCCTGCACCTGCATGGGAGACCAGGAGGAAGCACCTGGCTCCTGGCTTCAGATCAGCGCAGTGCGCCGGCTGGGGGGTGAACCAACGGAAGGAAGACCTTTCTCTTTGTCTCTGTCTCTCACTCTCACTGTATCTCTCTCTCTCTCTCACTGTCTAACTCTGCCTGGCCAAAAATAAATAAATAAATAAACAAACAAACAAACACAAATGGAAAGAATGGGAGACACTTGGACTAGTGGTTAATTTACCACTTGGGAATGCCCTCATTCCACATCAGAGTCTGGTTTGAGTCCCAGCTCCTTCACTTCCAATTCTAGCTTCCTGCTAACATGCCTCTGTGAGCCAGTGGATTCCTGCCACCAATGTGGGAGATCGGGGTACATTGCTTGGCTCCCAGCTTTAGCCTGGCCCAGCACAGGTTATGTTAGGCATTTGTGGGGTGAGCCAGAAGATGGGAATTCTAGGTGTCTGTGTGTGCATGTGTGCATGCACCATGCCTTCCAAATAAAATGAAAATAACTATGAAGAGTGCTTTATATTTATCACAGGGACACCGACACTGCTCTTGGACAACCAGTGTGATGCGAGCCATTGAGAATAAGCCCACAGGGGATACCCAGGGGTCGCTACTGTGCAGAAACCCTGCATGGAAGGAAGGGACTCCATTCGGTGCCTACAGTGGCCAAAAGACTTCTGCTGTCAATCCCCACAGAACCTAAGAAGGAAGCCTCAAACAGTTGAATATGCAAGTGATGGCATTATTGACATGATTCCATGTCAACGATGAATGAAGTCTAACACACTCCTTCCTTAAATTCCAGTTTGGGCTTTAGGATGTTCCCTCTCACCACCAAAGGGGAACTTGAGGAGGGGTCCTAGTCCTCCACCCCAACTATGGACTGCATCGTGGCTGAAGTCCCATCACCTCTGCTGCAGCTGTCTTCAGATGGGCCTGGAACCAAGGACCAGGCACATCAAAGACTAGAACTTAGGGTCTCAGCTTTCTCCCATAATCCACAGGAGAGCTAGGGGTCTGAAATTTCAAGGTACGTGGACACCCAGAGAGAAAGCGGGGGCGTGGCTAGGGCCCAGGTGTGTGAGAGACACAATCTGAGTGGCCCTCACCTGGTGCCAGGGGCTCAGTTGGGTTAGGGTGAGGCTGGCACGAGGATGTTCTCTACTTCTGTCCCCAGGTCCTGCCGAGGCTCCATCGCCACACTCTCCCGGAAGCTCTGCGAGAGAAGAGGATTTCCTTCCGGAGCCAACGGTCTTATCCCCTGGGCCATCTCTTCTTTGTCATTGTGCAAGTGAGGAAAATGTACACCTTGTAAGTGGACCCTGCCCTGTGGGAAAAGGCTGGGAGAGGTGTGGGGCTGGACCCACCCTCCACCGCATCACCGCTGTTTGTGCCTGACCCTGGCAGCTCCTCTCTGACATATCTGCCGCATCACAGACACAGCCCCACACAACAGGCGTTGTTTCTGACACCCCACCCCCTCACACACACCCTGCTGGGAAACCTTTCTCAGAAAGCTTGGGCTCAGGAATAAAACCAGAGGGCAAGGCTGGAGGAGTCACTTCCATGCAGCCAGCCCAAGAGTGCCACACCTAAGACCAGACACCCCGAGGACGAGCCACCCTGAGGAAGACAACAATGGCAGAGCAACAGGTGAGCTGAAGAGGCACCGCCTCCAGTGGCCCCGAGTCACATAAAGGAAGGAAGAGAAAATGGGATGGATCACAAATTGAGAACAGTTATGCTGAATGTGCTACTGAGAGTTGTGGATGTGTGGAAGAGAGACCTGGGGCTATGACACATGAGGTCCTCATAGGACATTATGGGCTGACCCTGGAGCAGGGTAATCCCGTGTCAGCATCAGATTACATCTGACAGAGTGGGCTCTGTTGAGACAATGTGACTTTAAGAGGAAGACAGACACTGACTAGGGAGGGCGGGTGTGTGATGAGTGTAAGGGGGTGAGACTGTGCATTCTTCTTTGTCACTGTGTGTGGGGGAGGGGGTTATTCTGTGGCCAGGGGTTGCACTTTGACTGTGTGTGGCTCACTCTGCATGTGCAGGTTCTCTCCTGCCCCCTCCATAGCACTGATTCCCGTTAGGTGGCTGTGATTTTTCCATGGGTATTGGCATGGGTCCCAGTGGGCAGAACTGGTGAAGGTCCTGGGGACCACCAGAACCTGAGGACTCATCTCTGAGCATTCCCAGGAGCAGAATGAAGAAGCCCTTAGGGGCTTCTCAGGGAGAGTGGAGGGGGGCCGCGGGATCAGCGGGCTGGGTCTGCACACAATGACCACTGGCTCCTGCCTCACCTCCCTTCCTCTGGCCCAGGCTCTCCTTGCCATGGTGCTATAGAAGGATGGGCAGAATCTGGACACTGTGGGAGCCATGGGGAGACTGCTTTCAGGGAACTACATCCTCCCAAACAGGAGGGAGCAAATCTAGCCTCAGTTCAAACAGGACTTAAAACCAAGATCATCGGCCAGCGCCACGGCTCACTAGGCTAATCCTCCGCCTAGCGGCGCCGGCACACCAGGTTCTAGTCCCGGTCGGGGCGCCGGATTCTGTCCCGGTTGCCCCTCTTCCAGGCCAGCCCTCTGCTGTGGCCAGGGAGTGCAGTGGAGGATGGCCCAGGTGCTTGGGCCCTGCACCCCATGGGAGACCAGGATAAGTACCTGGCTCCTGGCTCCTGCCATCGGATCAGCGCGGTGTGCCGGCCGCAGCGCGCTGGCCGCGGCGGCCATTGGAGGGTGAACCAACGGCAAAGGAAGACCTTTCTCTCTGTCTCTCTCTCTCACTGTCCACTCTGCCTTTCAAAAAAAAAAAAAAAAACCCAAGATCATCCACACTTTGCAGATTCTTGCTGACTCCTTCCCAGCCCCATACCCTTGGCGCAAGTCCTGGGATTATGCTCTCCACAATTTGTTCACGTTCCCTCTCTTAATTTTTGTCATTTTTAAAGGATTTATTTATTTATTTATTTGAAAGATGGAGAGGGAGAGGGAGAGAGAGAGAGAGAGAATCTTCCATCAGCTATTTCACTTTCCCAGAGGGCTGCAAAAGCCAGATCGCCAGGAGCCTGTAACTCTATCCAGGTCTCACGTGAGTGTCAGTGACCCAAATACTGGGGTTATCATCTGCTACCTTTCCAGGCACATTAGCAAGAAGCTGGATCAGAAGCAAAAGAGCCTGTGCCGGCACTGTGGCACAGGTTAACCCACCTCTTATGATACCAGCATCCCATATGGGCACTGTGCATGTCCTGGCCACCCCAGCTTCCTGGTAATGTGCATGGGAAAGCAGCAGAAGATGGCACAAGTGTTTGGGTCCATGCACCCACGTGGGAGACCCAGATGGACTCCAGGCTACTGGCCCAGCCATGGCCATTGCCGCCATTTGGGGAGTAAAACAGCATATAGATCTCTTTCACTCTCTGTCCCTCCCTCTTTCTCTGTAACTTTGCCTTCAAGCAAATAAATTGGGGGTGGGGGGGAGTAAAAGGAAGAAGAAGCAAAGAAGCCAGGACTTCATTAGGCACTCCAAAACAGGATGGGGTGTCCCAAGTCCTGTGCCACAAAGCCCACCCACCACACCACTATAAACATGTTCTTTTTTTTAAGATTTATTTATTTTACTTGAAAGAGTTACAGAGAGGCAGAGGCAGAGGCAGAGGCAGAGAGAGAGAGAGAGAGGTCTTCCATCCGCTGGTTCATTCCCCAAATGCCCGCAATGGCTAGAGCTGGGCCAATCCGAAGCCAGGAGCCAAAAGCCTCTGCTAGGTCTCCCATGCAGGTGCAGGGGCCCAAGGGCTTGGGCCATCCTCCCCTCCTCTCCCAGGCCACAGCAGAGAGCTAGATCAGAAGTTAAACAGCCAGGACTCGAACCGGTGCATGACAGGTGGCAGCTTTACCCGTTATGCCACAGAGCTAGCCCCATGTTCTTTTTTCTACTGGAATGAATTTCTGTGTTTTTATAGCCTCAAGTCTCACTTTCACCATTCTAAAGGTAGAAAATTATTGGAAGGCATATTCCAGAAAGGGCCCTCCACATTCAAAGGTAAACCCCATACAGACCCTCTATACACCAGGACTAAAGGTGTATAGTCCTTACATGTATAAGCTACTCAGTTCCTAGAACACCCTATGAAGTAGGAATTCCTGACAATCCTCCTTGTACTGGATAAACTAAGGCAGGGAGAGTACAAATAATGGAACTCACATCTCACTGCTAGTGACAGGCAGAGTCAGGATTAGAATCTAAGTAGCCTGGCTCTTGACCCTTGCTCTTAATTGAGACCCTTCTTCAGCCTTGTCACAATACAGGGACCCCTGACCGTGGTGGATGGAGATAAAGGGGTTCTTCAGCAAACGTGTAGGAGGGGAGCCGTCACCTGCCCTGGCCCCTCTCACCCACTCCCAATTCCCACAGCAGGTCCCATACACACGGAATGTGTCCTTGTGTATTGGTTCTTCAGTGACAATCAGAGGGACACCTGCCAACTCTTTCAGGTGAGTACTGTAAGGTCCAGGGGTGGGGGTGGAGGACCATTAGGGTGGAGGAGACTGTCAGAGCTGAGGGTCGCCTCACGTCTGAGTGAAGCTAACATCTTTCATTAGCATAGTGGTGACAAAATGCGGGTGCAGATCCTGGAGACCCTAAGCCCCAGGTGTTGACCTGTAGTGGCTGAGCTGCAGGCAGAGCTTGGTTCTGGGAGAAGAAAGAGGTCCCTTAGAGGGATGGGGGTGGGGATGTAGATGTTTATCAAGGGCCATAGACTTTTCAGGGAATGGACAACCAACAGGCCCAGGTCAGTGGCTGTGGCTCATTTTTAGTCTTGGGCTAAGGGACAGAGTATCTCAGCACCCTGGCAGGATGAGCCAAAACAGCCCCACAGGGACAAGGACACAGCATACCTTCCTCTCACCATGGGGAAGAGGTAGGAAAGGCTCGGCACGTGTGTGGAGTGTGGGGTGTCACGGGGCGGGGGACCTGCCCAACATGCCATGTGCTTTGCCCTCAGGAAGGACCCACAGTTGCAGGTGGATTTCCACATGGGCACTAATGAGAGGTCTGACATCGCCTTCCATTTACGAGTGTACTTTGGCCACTGTGTGGTCATGAACAGCCTTCGGTGTGGGGGCTGGGACTGTGAGGTGAAATACTCCCACATGCCCTTCGTGGACGGCCAACAGTTTGAACTGTGCATCTTGGTGCTGCATAATGAGTACCAGGTGAGTGTGCCCAGGAGCACCTGCTGCATCACCTGCCTGGGCTCCCTGGTCTGGAGACAGAGAGAAAGGTCTTATATCTGTTGGTTCACTCCCCAAATGACTGCAATAGTCAGAACTGGATCAATTTGATGCCAGGAGCCTCTTCCTAGTCTCCCACATGGGTGCAGGTAACCAAGCACTTGGGCCATCTTCTACTGCTTTCCCAGGCCTTAGCAGAGAGCTGGATCAGAAGGGGAGCAGCCGAAACTCGAACCAGTGCCACGATGCCGGCGCAGCCAGCAGAGGATTGGCCTACTGCGCCACAGCACTGCCCCCTACTTTAAAGATTTTACTTATTAATTTATTTGAGAGAGAGAGAGTTACAGCGAGAGGGAGAGAGAAAGAAAGGCAGCCCAAGGCTTGGAACCTCAGAGCTCCCTCTGCTTTTCCTGCCATCCTCAATTCTTTTCCCAACTCTGTCCAGGGTCAGGGTTGGCTCACAGGCCATCTCGTCCACTGGAGAGGATCTCCCCTGGCTTCCCCCACAACCATCATTTCTAGTTATGCTGTTAGGGAAATGTTCATATAGCTAAATGGTTAAAATATGCATAGGAATAGAATTATTCTGTCAGCCAAAAGTAAGTGTTCACCTAACTCCATTTTTTCATTTTTTGGTAACGATTTATTTTTAATTATTTGAAAGTCAGAGTTACACAAAGAGAGGGGGAGACAGAGAGAATCTTCCATCTGCTGGTTCACTCTCCAAATGGCTCTAACAGCCAGAGCCTGGACCTTTTCAGGGTCTCCCACCTGGGTGCAGGGGTCCAAGCACTTGGGTCATCCTCCACTGCTTTCCTAGGCCCATCAGCAGGAAGCTGGATCAGCCGGATGTGGAGCAGCCGGGTCTTGACCCAGTGCTCATACAGGATGCCAGCATCAAAGGTGGCAGCTTTACCCGCTACACCACAACACCAACCCCATCTGACTCCTGAACCCCATCCTTATTCCCAGAACAACCATTGCTACTTTCATTACCTTCCTCAAAGAGATGATCCGTACATATACAAGCATATCAACGTATATATGCTTATGTATAGATATACACGTACATACACACGTTTTCATTTCTTTTTGAACATTTGATGGTACACGTCTCTTTATACTGCATTAAGAACTAGAGTTTATTAGTAGTCAAAAAACACCTGGGGCCGGCATTGTGGTGTAGCTAGTAAAGCCACCAGTTGAGATGTCTGCATCTCATAAGGGCAACATTTAGAGTTCCAACAGCTGCTCTTTCAATCCAGCTCCCTGCTTATGTACCTGGGAAAGCAGCAGAAGATGGCCCAAGTCCTGAACACATGTGGGAGATCCAAATGAAGTTACTGGCTCCTGGCTTTGGTTTGGCCCAGACCTGGCTGTTGTGGCCATTTGGGAAGTGAACCAACAGAGGGAAGACCTCTCTCTCTCTCTCTTTCCCTCAGTAACTCTGCTTTTGTAATAAATAAAAAATTCTTAAAATATATCATTAAAAATGACTCTATGATGATATTGTTACCTTGCATTTTAATGAGTGAAATAATATTCCAATAGAAGGATGATCAGAATTAGAACTGACCCTTTTTGATGGGTATTCAGATTCTTTCCAATAGTTTTCTTTCACAAATGACACTGCATTAAGGTTCTATACCACACTCTTCTCATTACCAACCTCACCATTCTTTAACATTTTGTTGATTCAGGAAGTGCACATTTCACATGCCTGTAAGCTATTAGAAGTTATATTTATTTTTTATTCCTATTTGAGAAGCAGAGCCAGACAGAGCCAAAGATCCCACCCACTGGTTCACTCCCCAGATGCCTGCAACAACCAGGGCTGGACGGAAACCAAAGGCAAGAGCTGGGAACTCAAGCCAAGTCTCCCATGTGGGTGGCAGGAACTCAATTACCTGAGCCATCACTGCTGCCTCCCAGGTCTGCAATCCCAGGAAGCTGGGGTCAGGAACTGGAGCCAGGTAGTAAACCCAGGCCTCTGACATGAGACATGGGCATCTCAACCAGTGTCTTGACCACTACACCATGCACCACCCCCAACATCTTCATTCTGAGCCACTGCACTACCCGAACCTTGAAGAACACCCAGGTTGCAGTCTCTACCACCAGCAGCCCAGAAGAGAAGCTGCACCATCAGCAGTAAATGCAGGGAAGGTTTGGGGACCTGAAGTTTACACATTCAATGAACCTGTAGTGAGCTCTACCCCTAGGGCTCGTGCTGTAGGAGACACAGGAAGTCAAGTCCCTGACCTCGGAGCTCTTCTAGGGTAGAGGGGAGGCTGCGCAAACACAGACAATGCCACACAGAGTGGTAGAACTTCACCAGAGGAGTCAGCAGACTCAGAAAATTGTAAGCAATTGTCCAATGTAGTCACAAAAGTTGACCTATAAAAGAAGCATGTGAGGGTGGGTGTTGAGGCACAGCGGGTTAAGCCCAACTTGTGAAGCCTGAATTCCATATTGTGGTGCCAATCCAGCTCCCTGCTAATGTGCCTGGGAGGCAGTGGATGATGGCCAGGTACTTGAGCTCCTGCCACTCATGTTGGAGACTTGGATGAAGTTCTTGGCTCCTGGCTGTGACCTGGCCCAGCCCCAGCTGTTGCAGGCATTTGGGGAGTGAACCAGTAAACCAGCAGATGAAAGCTATGTCTGTGTGTTTGTGTGAGTGTGTGTGTGTGTGTGTGTGTGACTCTGCCTTTCAAATAAACCTTTTTTTTTTTTTTTCAAAAAAGAAGTATGTCTACTGGTTTCTGATGTGTGGTTTGGAGTTTTGGGTGGGTGGTATAAGTACTAGGTCGCAAATGGAAAAGGAAGACTGAATGTTTGTATGGAGGCATTCTGTACCTGACACATTTTCTTCCCTCTTGCAGGTAGTGATAAATGGCCAGCACTGTTACAGCTTTGCCCACCGAGTCCACCCCGGGTCTGTGAGGATGATGCAGGTGTGGAGAGATGTCTACCTGACCTCAGTGGACGTCTGCTAGAGATGGAGGCTTCCAGACTCCCCATGATCAAGGAAGCCCTTTCTCTATGTGACCTGTGGATTCCCAAAGCCAGCACAATGATTCCTCCTCATCCTGGTCTCTGTACTTGCTCATTAAAACTTCGCCCTACTTCACAGGACGTATGTCTCGCTTTAGACTGGAGAGAAGTAAGCGGCCATTGCCAAGTGGGGAAGGAAGGAGGAATCAAAGAGGATAATTCTGTGAATCACAGAGTGAGTGACAGTCACTCAAATGACCAAGAAGACAAGAGTGGACATGATTTTATAGAACTTATTGTAAGCTAGGCACTCTAAACTGAAACTTCATCCTGTTCCAGATGACCAAAGTGAGATATTAGGCAGCTGTCTATAGTCATCGAGCTACAGTTGGTGGCTTTGAGGAGTAGCTTTTAATTTGAGGAAAATCAGACGAAATTTGCTAACTTTTTAAGGCATGAAAATGTTGTTTACTGTATATCTCTGTGCCTGTTTTGTGCAGGAGGCACTAGAGAGAAGCAAGACAATTAAGTTAGCACTTGAACTAACCCCAGCAATAGTTACAGGCCCACAGATACTCAATGATTACTCTCAAATAATCTATTTTTTCTAGGAATACTTTTTAAGGTTATGTGGGCAGAAACTTAGGTCCTGTGTTGGAACTGTCACTTTTTAAGGTTATGTGGGCAGAAACTTAGGTCCTATGTTGGAACTGTCACAATTTTAGATCAGTGTACATGTAAATTATCATTAGAACAAGCACAATTTTTGCACATGGATGTTGTTTCAGTTACGTATTACAGTACCTCCCTGAAACACTTTGCTTTAAAATAAGAATTATGGGTTAAGACATTGCTTAGGGAACCTGCATCCCACATCAGTGTGCTTGGGTTCCAGTTATGACTCCATTCCTGATTCTAACTTATTGCTAATACAGACCCTGTGAGGCAGCAGGTGGTGGATCAAATACTTGGGTCCCCACCAAAGGAAACCCATACTGAGTTTGAGGTCCGGGCTTCAGCATGGCCCAGACCCAGCTATTGTGGGCATTTGAGGAAGTCGATCTGTGGAGGGAGATCTTTTTAATCTCTGTCTGTTCTCCCTCATTCTGCCTTTCAAATAAGTAAATAACTAAAAACATAGCAGGAATCAATGATCTTTGTCAGTCTGACCAGGTGACTGGACTCACAGGAATGCTGTGCCATGTGGCTTCAATAAGGCTGTGGCGAGGGGTTGAGTCTTCTAAAGGATCTGCTGGGCTTCCAGACAATGCTCACTCTTTGCTTGGAGTGTCTAGAACAGCTGGGACTGGCTGGTTCTCTCTCTCCATAGCCATGTGGGACTTCCTCAATTCATGCGGTCTATTATTTATTGGACTCAATGAATGGTGACCACCAGGGGGAGCCTTCCACAAGGCTAAGCAGAGAGTGCAAGGCATCATAGGACCCAGCTTTGGGTGTCACAGGTGTCACTTCTGCCACATTCTTCTGTAAAAGCTGTGCCTCACATACAGCCCAAATCAAGGGGAGTAGACTGCATAAGGGTGTGGCTAGTGTATCTTGGGTCAATGTATAGGGGGAGGGTCAACCTTGGAAGCTAGTAACTTTTCTACTCTCGGGTCCCAATAACTTACATATTTCCCACATGTCAAAACATCAACCCCAGAATAAATAAAATAAAAATAAAAAAATCAACCCCCTCTAAAGAAGACCCCAAATGTAATAAAGTATGGTAACAGGTTTAGAGTTTAAGTCCAGGATCTCATCATCTAAATCAGGATATGCAGTGAATTCAGTATAAATTCTCAGGTGCAATTCCTCTCCATATGCCTTCTTCCTTAGCCCTCCTCCCCAACCTGACACCCAGATACCATGAGGTACCGACACATGGGTAATGATACACCTCAGGCCTTTCTTCATGGTTTTATTCCATACTTGAATGAAATATCCTCCTCTCTCTAATTCTAAATGCTTGAGTTCTATTTAGGCACAATCTTCTTATAAATTTCCCATCCCAATCTTGGTCATTTCTCTATTTTTATAATGGATCACAGAGCCCCATCTTTAGCTTGTCATTCCTTTTTTGGATTAGACAATTCTTTGTTATTATTATTTTTTATTTGAGTGGTAGAGTTTCAGACAGAGAGAAGTAGAGACAGAAATAAAGGTTTTCCATGTGCTGTTTCACTCCTCAGATGGCTGTAATGGCTGGAGCTGGGCCAACCCAAGGCCAGAAGCCTGGGGCTTCTTCCAGGTATCCCATGTGGGTGCAGGGGCCCAAGGACTTGTGCCATCTTCCATTGCTTTCCCAGGCCAAAGCAGAGAGCTGGGTTGGAAGAGAAGCAGCCAGGACATGAACCAGCACCCATATGGGATGTTGGTGCTGCAGGTGAAAGCCTAGCCTACTACGCCACAACACTGCCCCCCCTTTTTTATATTTATTTGGAAGGCAGAGCTACAGAGACAGAGAGACACAGATAAATCTTTCTTCTACTGATTCACTCCCTAGATGGCCACAATAGCTAGTACTGGGCCATGTCCAAAGCCTGGGGCCCAGAACTCCATCCCTGTTGAGCCCAAGGACTTGGGCCACTTCCCACTGCTTTTCCCAGGTTCATTAGAGGGGAACTTAATAGAAAGTGATGCAGCCAGGACTTAAACCAATACTCATATGGAATGCTGGCAATGTAGGTAGAGGTATAACCGGCTGTGCCACAATGCTGGTCCCAGGAAATTGGAGTTATTTTCTCTAAGTAGATGAAAATTATCCCAGGTTCCATTGCTTGCTGAGAAGGGCATGAAGTATATTTCATATCTACTTGCTCCTTGGCCATTGCATCTTAAAAACTACACAACCCTATAGGGTGGCCCTGCTAGACAAACACACAGTAACTGCCTTTCTTTGGGTGACACTCATCAATTCAGTCCACTTTATGTGGATTATTTGTTATATTCATCTTCATCTCAGGTTCTTTGCTGTGCTCATGGCATCCAGAAAAAATGTCCCAAGGACATGGGGAGTCCAGAGGGTGCTGGTCAATGAAGAATATTTGAAATACCTCTGGGGACTTGCCAACATCTTTCTCAATTCAGATTGCTGTTCTTCTCTTACAGAACGGGGCATTTATCAAGAAATAGAAGGTCATTCTTGGATCCAATAGCAGTCCCATTTCAAATATTCATAGCTTTCCCCATCTATGCTGAAGCCTCTAAAAGAGTAGGTTCTGCGGCTGGTGTTGTGGCACAACAGGCTATGCTGCTGCCTGCAACCTTGACATCTCATATGTGGTTCAAGTCCTAGCTGCTCCACTTCCACTCCCACTCCCTACTAATGAGCCTGGGAAAAGAGTGGAAGATGTTCCAAGTATCTGAACCCTTGCCATCTATGTGGAAGATCTGGATGGAGTTCCAGGATCCTGGGTTGTGTGTGTCCCAGCCCCAGCCATTGTGGCCATTTTGGGAGTAAACCAGTGGATAGAAGATCTTTCTCAGGGCTGGTGCTGTGGCACAGTGGGTAAAGCCACCGCCTGCTCTGCCAGCATCCCATATGGGCACCAGTTCGAGTCCTGGGTTCTCCACTTCTAATCCAGCTCTCTGGGAAAGCACTGGAAGATGGCCCAAGTCCTTAGGCCCTTGCACTCAAGTGGGAGACCTAGAAGAAACTCTTGGCTCCTAGCTTCAGAACAGCCCAGCTCTGGATGTTGCAGCCATTTGGAGAGTGAATCAGTGGATATAAGACCTCTTTCTCTGCCTTTGCCTCTCTGTAACTCTGTCTTTCAAATAATTAAAAAAAAAAATGAAGAACAGATTCAACTCTATAATGATACCAAGTCTGTAACGCTGTTAGGACTCTGGTACTGTCCATGGTGCTGACTCATGGTGGGCCTGGCCTATGCTTCTGAGTAACAGGCTGACATCCCACATGGGCACCAGTTGGAGTTCCAGCTGCTCCACTTCCAATCCAACTCCCTGCTAATGCACCTGGGAAAGCAATGGACAATGGCCCAAGTACTTGGGAAACTGCTCCCATGTGGGAGACCCAGAAAAAGTTCCTTACTTTGGATCAGCCCAGCTCTGGCCTTTGCAGCCATTTGGGGTGTGAACAAGCAGATGGAAGACCTTTCTCTCTGTCTGTAACTCTGCCTTTCAAATAAATAAATAAATATTTTTTTAAAAAAGAAAGAAAGAATTTCACCTGGAATGTTCTGAATCAATATTTCTGAATCGTTTGATTTTTCTAGCAGTCTCATGGAACAGAGGTTGAGGCTAGAAAATTGCTTTTCATCAGAATTCCATACATGAATCATTAAATAATTAGTAAAATATTTTACCTTTATTTCTCCTATAGGAAGAATCTATTCTAAAAGTTGCTCCTTATTTTCATTTTTATAAAACCACAACAGCAAAGAGACTACACTCCACGCCATGGCCTCACAGAATATATATTAAGACAGATGGGAATCCCCTCAGCCTCCCCTCTTAAAATAGACACAACATTAATATATACTCCAACCATCAGTATTTTCATCTGTGTCTTCAGATCTTTTTTCTGGATCTATAGCAAGCCATGCTGCTCACATGTGCATGGTGTACTAGTCAGCTTTCTGTTACTATCATGAAATACCTGAGGCAGCTAACTTACAAAAAGTATATCTAACTCACAGTTTCTAAAGGTTCATAGTCCAAGGTCATGTAGTCCCACTGGTTTGGCCTCTGATGGGGGCATCCTTGCTGGCAAAGCCCTAGAATGAGACACAGCATCACATGGCAGGAGGCAGAGAGTGCACGTGTCTGTTTACATCTGTATGGTCTCTAGAAAAGGCAGCAAGATTTCATCATCCACTCACTCTCCACACAACAAAACTTGATTAAATTTCCACTCTCCTGAGTACCATTGAATCAGAGTTTGGGGACCAAACCCCTGAGTTTGGGAGGACAAATATTCAAACCCCAGCAGACAGCAATCTGAAAATGTTAAAGGATACCCCCAAGCAATGACTCTAATCAGAGAAACTCGGGAGTTGCTATATATAATTAGCCCAACTCTTTCATCCCTCTGGTGAGATCATTCTGAAGTATTAAAAATTGCTTCTCAGAGGGTTTTTTGGAGAGCTTGAATTTCAGTTGTGAGCTGCAGCAACTGA